CATATGTTTCTGTTTACTTTAGGTGCTTGCAGGATGTAAATCAACTTTTTTCCTCTTTGCTTAAACAAAGAAGGCTAAAGTCACCCCTGGGACCAGTGGCCATCACTCTAAAGTCAACACAGTTGTACCTGTTTACGCCAGGTGTCAATGTGGCCCAGTAATGCATTTGTAAATGAATGCCTTAGGGAAGGCTGCATCTTGGATTTTAAATCCCTGCAGGATATAAAGGGATCTAAAAGGAAGTATTGGCCTGAGGAATAGCACTTGATGCTCAGAAGCTTATCAAACAGTTCTCCCAGAAAAGAGATCCCAGAAAATACTTGCCTCTCACATATGGTATGCTTATTCATAAGTGCTGACCAAATAAACATCTAGTTTTATACTGTATATTGACATTTTATGGGGCCAAGGGCCAAACTGTACTGTCATACCAATACCAATCTGCATGAGTTTCATTCAAGCCCAGGACATTATTCCATATTTACATCAGTGAGACTGAGAGGAGAATTGGGGGCCTAGTCTGTGTAGAAGCTGCAATAATTCTTACGCTGGGTTAAGAGCACTTAAGAAAAGATGGTGAAGTAACAATGTTGCTTATGGGGGGTTTTTTGGTTCATTTGTATAATAAGAGATCTTCTAAAATGTAGGCATCTTTTATTTAAGCCAGTTCATTACTGATATGTAGTATTTTCTCAAATGAAACAAGGAGTTTGACGTAGTTGGTTACTCCTGCCACAACCTCCTCTCCCCCTGCAACTTTCCTTCCCTAGTTAAAAGTTCATATAACCCCACAACACTTGGCTGTTGAGATATGCATGTTTTCAATTCATTGTCAGTTTCCATACTGACTTTAAATGAAAATATGGAAAGTTTAAAGTGGGTCTACTCTGATGCGCTGTAACTACAGTGTGTCAGAGCAGACACCCCACGTATCTACAGGCACCTTTGTTCTAACTAAAATCTTACGTTAGCAGAGCTGAAACTGTATCTCATCAGGAGGTAAAGTGTTGCACAGGCTTGAGTACGAGTGACCTCTATGCTGCTGCTGCAGTGATGCAGAAGTCGTTGGCACAGGTCGGCACATTGTTCCACTTCCTCTTCGAACAGGAAATCTCCAAACTAAGGGAGGCAGAGAAGACACTAGTATTATTGCCAATCCCAAGCATTCAGGCATTGTAATTGTGAGAGTAGATTAAAAATGATAAGACATTTTTGGCTCTTTTGATAAGAGTTCTGCTTTCTAAACCTTCATGGTTCACATTTTCAAGATTTTCTCTTTAACTCCTGTCTCCTGGAAATATTCTTTCTATCACAATGAGCCACATTATTTAATTGTCCTAAAACACTTCCATTGTGGACCTCCCACGCAGCTTTCATTCTTGATCCTATTCCAAGTTTTAGTTTTATGCAAGTTTTAATTTTAGAGATACAAGTTGTTATGGCTTCAGTCCAAGCCTAACAACACCTATGTTCCAAGGAACTTTTATTTTAAACAGAATGCAGATGGAGTCACATATATTGTACGTGCATAGATAAAAACCAAGATGTACATGCAACAAACACATGCCATTATCTCCTATTGTAAAACCTTGTTTACCCGGTTCTCAACCTCAGCCCTTTCTTCAGTGTCATCTTGCTGTTTACACTGAACACTAGTTGACAAAGTCCCATCATTTTTACTCATTTATAGAACAGCATACACCTCCCTGCAGTACAATATAAATTATCTGAACAGTTGTTTCATAAAAATATAGTACCAACTCACTTTACTTGGAAGACAGATTCAAATAATTTTATAAAGCATTCATCATTATAAATTATTTTGATTGGAAGCTAGCTTTAAAAAAAATAATGTACAATGAGACTTTGGTTATGAACTTCGTAACTACCTGGAGAACAACCTGATAATTTAGTTTGTCAGGTAATCTATACTTACTGGGGAATGGACATAATGAACAGGATACTCCTGTCCTTTTTGTGTGCGTTTTAGGATATTTTCAAGGATTTTTCACTTCTGCATTTGGAGTGGAGACACTCCTTCAAATAAAGATCCATACACTACAAAATGCTAAACAATCTCCTAATGAGGCCTCTCCCCCAAACCCCTATATTAAAAGTTGAAAACAGATCTGTTATGACTTATATTATTAAGATATTGGCTAAATGCTGCCTGGAAATCTATCAAATCTATCAAGGTCAATGGAAATATGCTGGTGAAAAACAAATGGATAATTTGGCCTAGCATTTAGACAGAATGAAAGTACTAATATAAATTTAATTGATAGAAACCCTCCATGGTCTGAAGAATGTCTGGCATTCAAAAACTTGTCTAAGTCTATCCCAACGATATAGTTCATCCAATAAAAGATATCATCCTAAGAAATCCTTGCCTCTCACATTAAGAGACTAACATCATATCTCATTTACAGTATAACCGTTTAAATCTGGAAGAATCCCAATGTCTTAAAAGGAGTTGGTAAGAGTGGATGAAGCAGTTTTCACACAGTAATGAACTAATATACATGTACCGGTATGTCTGTGCATGAAACCTGTTTTGATGGATGCAAATGTAAATATTTATTGCACTTACAGATCTGCTTTAAAAATCACCTAATGTCTTAACTAGAAATAGGAAAATGTAAGTCTGTCAAGAGTTTACCTTGGCAATGAGTGCTCTGAGTGTAGCGAAGCAATGTGTTAGGTAAGTGGTGCTCTGATCGCAGCTGAGAGAGTTTACCAGGACCTTCAGCACTCCTCCCAAAAGGTTCTCTCTGCAGTCCACAGCAGAACTCGCCTATGCACAGAGAAGAGTAATCAATTGAACAGAGGAATCCCATAATGAACTTGCACATAAGCATGGAGATTTTACTCCTTTCATCAAGAAGACCCTTCTACGCTGCAAAAAAAGTGACATTTGAAATCTCAGGGTTTTTCCTCATTCTTGAGCATGTGCTTACTCTCATGTTACCACAACATTGGAAAGATTTCTATTGGAGTCGCTTCTTATGGGTTTGTGGCTCAGCAGAAAAGAAGAAACCCTTCATGTGCCTTGAATCCCTGCAATTTATTTTTAATTCAGTTTATTCCTGTACCTATCCTCAAAGTACCATATTTTTTTAAATCTTCCTTCTGTTTGGGTCTTTATGCTTCTTTAAGGGTCTATACAGGAGCCTTTAGTACATCACTTTTCTATTGACAAGGATTAAAGAGCAGTGTAAGTTTCTCTCTGTGTCAGCAGTGAGGTCATAGCCTATCACATAAATAAAAACCTCAGACCGAGGGGGCTGATCCTCAACTGATATCAACTGTCACAGCTCCACTAACTTTGACTGACCTTTGACTTGACCCTGGGAGGTAAAACAGGTTCTGCAAGTTTCTCCCTGCAAGTGGGTATTTTTGCCAATATGCCCCCATGCAGGTAGAGGATACCATGGACCAGAGCGGTGTGTAGGGTTAAACTCTAAATTCAGATGTCTTACATGACAATGCAGAACATTTCCACAAGAGCAGCAGGCCAGCCCCATTTTGTTACCCAATACAAACCAATACTGTCCTTTCCCCTTCCAGCCTCAAAACAGGACTGACAAGCCCCTGTATCCTGAGAAGTTAACTGAGATTGGATTTCAAGTACAGTTATGTAGAAATGGGGTGAAATTCTCTTCTCTGTTACACTGGTGAAAGCTCAATGAGTGAAAGGAGCTTACAGCAACAGTATAATAAGATGGCATATTTATCCTTTTCACTTTTTAAAGACAGAGATCATTAAGGATCCGTTTTATTGATTGTGAATGTTAAGATTCCTTTTTTTTTAGTTAAAATATGTACTGCTTAAGAAGCAGAAGAATACATCTTTCTCCCTTTTAGAGAGGTTGATGGAGAGCCAGCTGTGAAGTTCTCACCTGGATGATGTTCTCTTGCATATCTAAGATGATCAAATTAGCTTCTGTAGCCAGATTTCCACTGATCAGAGCTTCTTGATCAAGCTCAGCTTTTGTTCTGTGAAAAGGAGCACTCCTCATTATTTGGATGACAACCAGCTGTATCAACTAAAGGCCGAGTTAAAAATGACTGAATCCTGAATGTTCCCACAGGGATGGGTAATAGCAACCTCATTCAAGGGCATTTCCCAAGGACCACTAGGTTTACTGGGAGGAGCTGATATACTAGATGAGTGGTGCCCAACTGTTTTGCCAGGCAGGCTGGATGGGCTGTGGCCAGTCCATCTGTGGGATGGCCCAGCCCCATGGGAGGAAGGGGGCTTGATCCAGCTCTGTAGTGGGGGGAAGCATCATGGCCCAGTTTCGCAGGGCAACGGGGCACGGCCCAGCACCGATGCAAGCTGTACAGAGGGAAGGAGGCCTGGCCTGGTCTGGCCCCAATGCAGCCGCATGGGGTAGAGGTGGCATGGCCTGGTCCCCACAGGGAGATACAGTGTGGCACAGTCCCACACCGGCCATGCAGAGGGAAGGGGGCGTGTTCCAGCTCGCATCTAGCTCTGCAGGACTTGGGAATTTGGCCATGGGGAGAGATGGCAGTATTAACTGCCACTGCTTCCCCACTTCTAAATCTTTCAACCCATGGGGAGACCTGTGGGTTGTATGTCCTGGCTCTATTGGCTAGCGGTTGAGCAGCCCTGCACTAGATCTTAATCCTCAGGAAATGTGCTACAGGCGGGCTCCTACGTATTGTTAATAGCTGACTGCAGTTACCATTGGCATAATAATAATGAACAATATTTATAAAGTGACACCTATGCCTCAACATGCCCACAAAATGACATGCCACAGCTGCAAACCTGGGGCCTTGGCCCGACTAGCACAGCCTCTCATCCTGGCCTGCTCCCTAACAGCTAGCCACCCATGTCAGTTGAGGCTGTCCTGAAGCCCTGAGGAGGGTCTAGCTCTCCACCCACTCACTGGCACTGGAGTGGCTGGCCAGGGTCAGCTGAACCTCCACTTCCCTCATATAAATGTTTGACCCAGAATACAATCTGTCCAGGTAACAGGGCTTAATCTGATCCCAGACTGACTTGCTGTTCCCTCAGGCTTGCATTCTGACTCCACTCTTGGCCTGATTTTGTCTTTTGACCTGCTTTGCTCTCTGACTCCACTCTCTTCCTGATCCTCCAGCTTCTTGACTCAGCCTCTTCCTAGACCCTATTCTCAGATTGATCTCCTGGCTTCCTGACTTGGGTGGCCCCTGGAGTCTGCTTGTTCCTCCCAACCCAGGTTGGCATCTAGATCCCCAAGTGGCTCCAGACTGGGATGCCCATGACCCAGTGTGACAAAGCTGCTCAAGGAGCTGTACAACAAACATCTGAAAACATACTCTGCAGTGATACACCCAGAATAGAGTTATGATAAAAATAATCCCTTATAAAACTCTGTAAGAAAAGGATAGAGAAGGCAACCACAAGGAAGGGGGAAAACATTGTTGATACCAGAATATTTTTTGCTGCATAAAAGCAGAATTTGAGGACAGACTGAAATAGGTGAAAAAGGGGCAGCAAATTCCAGAGCTATGGATCCAGTGCAGCCAATACACAATGACCATTTGATGTGAGAAGGAATAGTGGCTTTTCTAAAAGAAAGTGAGGGGATGGTGGACAAAACCCAAACCTGTGTCAAGACCAGGCTTAAGGAAGAAGCCTGGAATAGAGGCCTTGTGCATCTCTCAGCAGAGTTGATGCATGATATTGAGCTTGATGCATGATTTGTAACAAGAAATTTATTCAATAAAAGTTCATCATCTATTTGCAGATTCTGTACAACTCATGAATCATTTGCTTAAATATATTAATGATGCAAAATTCAACTACAAAAGGGGAAAAAAAGCATTTGCAGATAATTCCTGGGTTTATATATATGTGCAAACTGTCACTTGTAAGTATTCAGCATGTGAAACTGGAGCTGTTTTGGCTGAACTAAGTTCTCGCAGGCAATTTTCTGTCCAGGGCTGGATGAACAGTTCTTACTGTAGACTTTTCATATAAATTCAGGATTTGCTTTCTGTAAATATTCCACATTTTTTCCCTATAATTCTGTATCTGCATGAAATTGGAGGGAGACCCTGCCAGGAGACCACTGCAATAATCGAAGCATAAATATGAGCAAGACTGGCACAAATTAAATAAGCAACAACAATCTTTTGAACTGGTTCTCGCAACCACAGTATGATTCAGGCCCTCTACGTTAACCATTTTGATTTATCTTGTTTGTGTGGTTATGGTTGTTTTGTACAAGCCTTTTAAACAGCCAATAACCTTAAAAAATGACTGACTCCTCTCTTTATATTTCATTTGCTTTGAAGTAGAGATAACTTTTCACAGTGAATACAAAATGGGACCCATGGGGAAAAAAGAGATAGAGTCAGGATAGGTGCTCAAAATGGGGGCCATCAGCTCACTCCCCAGTAAGTGCTGGAGAATGAAAAAAAACCCAACACTAACTTTTTCAGTAGGAAATGCACTCAGACTTGGCTCTCCCTTGGTTCAGGGTATCTGCTGAAAAGGACAATAAGACATTCACAGAGCACAGGGACATACGGATCCTCTCAATATGCAGACTTGCACTCTTAGCTAAAGGAGCAATTGATTAAACTGAACCAATGTGGCCCACACCAAGAATAGTACCTAGTAGGGCTGTGTGAAGCTTCGGTTGCTGATTTGATTTGGTGGAGATTCAGCCCAATTCAGTGGCTGAATCTCCAAATCCAAATCAAAATCAAATCAGGAGACCCTTTAATCCCTCTGAATCAAATTGGAACCCTCCAAATCTATTTGGAGAGATTCAGTGATTCGGACATAGACACAGCTTTAAATGTTTTTTCTACATACCTCAAGTTACCAGGGGGCTTATGAAAGCTGCAATGCTGGGGCGCATGGAGTGTCCCACAGGAGAGTGGGGGGGTCCCCAGCACGCTCGGCAGCAGACCCGGAAGTGGACCAGAAGCACTTCCAGTCCACTTCTGGATCGACCGGGGAGCATGCAGGGGGTCCCCCAGTGCCCCCCTGGCTTTGTGACTGGTGCCTCCTGGGTCTGGGGGGGCACCCGGGGTCCCCCTGTGGCCAATCACTGAACTGGGGAACATGGGGGGGCCCCTGCGCACTCCACGGCAGAAGTACTTCTGGTCCACTTCCAGGTTCACTGCCAAGCATGGAGGGGGCCCCCCCGTGCTCCTGTGGGATGCTCCGTCCACCCCAGCATCGCAGCATTCACAAGCCATGCCTGGTACCTTGAGGTAGGTAGAAAAAACACAATGCTGTGTCTATGGCCAAATCGCTGATTCTCTGAAATCAGCACTGAATGTTCAGATTCAGATTTGGCCAAATCGAATCAGGGACAGTGATCAACAAATTGAATCACTGTCCTTGATTCAGGGCAAATCCAAATCAAATAGGGCCCATTTCACACACCCCTAGTGCCTGATTTGTCAGCCTTACCCTTATTTCTCCTGTTCAGCATGAAGTTTGATAATTAAGGACCAATTTATACTTCCCTGGCACAGACCAAATTCATTTGGACTTATGGAAATTTTACATGAAGGAGAACAAAAAGGTCCACAAAATTTGGTCCTAACATTTCAGCTTCTGTTTTGAGAAAGAGAACACTATTAATCATGCTAACTCCGCATTCTGTTACCTAGCTACAACTGTGCCACGTAATTTAGCCTAGTACTCCTAGACTACATTAGTCAACTATTGAATAAATAAAAATACTGCAGCAAAATGTCTTCAGTGATGAAAGGATAGGCATATTCATCACAGACAAAGCGGAGAGGCATTTTCTTGTTCTTTCTTTTAAACTGCAGTGAATTCCAAAACTGAAAATCTTTGCTCAAAAAAGACAGCTAACAACCGTTTACCTGCTTATCCCAGAATCTTTATAACCCCAATGGACAAAAAACTAAAACCAATACCCCTTTTCCTAGCCAAAGTAACTAAAAAGGGCTCTGGACATTCAGTACAACTTTAATATAGAGAAGAAGCTACCCCTTTTTTTAAAAAAATGGCATCTATTTACAATGATATCATTTACGCAAGTAGGTATAGGGGAAAAAATTATGTTTCTTCTAGTGAAGAAGTCATCAAATTTCTACATTTATAGACTACTTGGAACAAAGAGTATGAAAAATACTAGTTTTTACAGTGCAATTCATTCATGAAAAGCTAGTTGTCTCTAAGTAACATACTGAGTTATTTGGTTGATTAGGCTGCTTTATTTTTACCCTCATACTTTGGATAGTAAAAAACTGCTGTATTCACAACTGGCAAGCTGAAACTTGTAACAAGAACATCATAAGAGAAGAATCTTTTTTTCCCCCTCCTCTGGTAAATAATTCACCAATGGGTTAAATCTGGCAAACTTAGTGAGACAAAGCACATATTACCATGCTGCATACATTCAACAATGCAACTATAGCACTGTAAAAGTCAAATAAGCCCTGTTTTGAGGTACCTGGGATATTATACGTATATCTCTCATATACAGTTAAATCAGAAAGAAAAAGATACATAGTTCACAGATTAAGCCCCGGAAGTCTTTAGAAACTCACTGGTATGTCCCAGCAACAGCCAACCCCCAAAGGAATTATTTTTTATTTCTTTTCCTCTTTGAAGAAAGAGGCTGGAATGAAACAGCTGATTTTGTAATAAAAGCATCCTGAGAAAAAAAAACCCAACCAAACCCAGCCTGGTTTAGGTAAAAGTGATATAAATTTATTAAATGACTTACTTATCTTGCCTTTCGTTTGCCTGCCGCCAGTGAGTCTGCTCTTTTCTCCATCGCAGGTTTTCATTTAGCCCTGCCAATCTGTCATTCCCTAAGAGTGCAACATACGTCAGTAAGATTAAAGCAGAAAGAGAACACCTGCATTGTGATATCTAATCATACAAGGTGATCTAAATTTCTCTAACAGTCATTTGGTGCTCAAATCCCCCAGCTTTCAGCCCTGGGGATCCTGCTACAAGGGCACTGTCAATCATTTCTGAAACTCTGGGGCTTTTAAATTTAATTTGCAATTTAAAGTTTCCCCAAGACATTTGTAACACTTTTTTTAAAATGAGCTGACTTTTCACTGTAGAGGCAACTCGCTTTATTTTTAATGTTTTTTAAACTGTGGCCATGTATGAGGGATATCATAGAAACCACATCATGACACTGAAAATGTTCAATGCACACAGTTTTTCCTTCTGTACTTGCAACTAAAATAGGGTCAGAAAAGTGATTATTTGAAGGAACATCCTTGTAAATCTGTTCCCAGATATAAGGGTCAATTACTATAGTAACTGGTGTCAAACATATGGCTGGTGGGCTATATCTGTCCCACAGATGTGGGTCATCAGGCTCTTGGGGCTTCTTGCTGCAGTTGCCAGCAGCCAAAGTGCTGCAGTTACTCAATCCCCAAAGCCATGGCTGCCAGTACCAGCACCTAGTGGGTGAATGCCACTGTAGAAATTAGTTTTTTGTTGACACTAGTGACTAAAAATCAGCAGCATTTACCCCCTGGCTGGTGGCCATGCTAACACCACTCTAGTTAACTCCTCAACTGCTAGCATCACCACAACAGCACTGGCACCTGTGGCTAGAAGGTCTGTGGTCTAGGCCCAGCCCATGGGAAGCCCATGGTCCGAATCTGACCTACAATGTGCCCTGCAGTCCAGATCCAGATCCAGGGCACAAGGGGCCATGCAGTATGGATCTAGCCTGTGAGGTGAAAAGCTTGACATCCCTGCTAGTTGAAGATTTAGAGAGTTTCTGTTGTCTTTTAAACCCCAAAAGGGAAAGAGATTTGGATTGCCAGCTTATTTGAAGTTTTCTGATTAAAGATAAAGGGGAAAAAACAAAAAGTACCAGCCGGTGTCCTGCAGCGTTTCATCATTTCACCTCTGGCCCCTTCTCCTCTCAGTAAAGCCTCTTCTAGCCGGGCTTTTGCATCTTTTGATTTCTGGAGCACTTGAGTGCTAACTTTATCTGAGCTTTGTTTGCCCTGGACATATGTAAGAAAGCAAAGTCATTTTCTTCACTTCAGAGCACCTATGTTAAAAATACACACACACTGTTAATCCAAAGTGTACTGCTGATACTTTTGATATCTCTCTTGGACAGAATTCAAAACAGACGGAGGCCAATGAACACCATTATCAATGTACAAAAGCAGTGTGCATACCATCAAAGAGCCAGTATGTGTACTGTTAGCAAATACACAGATATATCTGGAAGTAAAGAGAAAGGTGACTTTTGAGAGATAAATACTCCAATATTTCAAACTATTTAATGATAATAGTTTGCTCTTGTAGAGACTCTGGTACAACATTACATTTAGCTTCACAGTCCCATTGAGCAGTAGGTATTATTATTCTAATTTGACAATGAAAAATGTAGGCATAGAGCGAAATTACTTGGCCTGGTACAGGTACATACCAGCAGAGCTGAGAGTTCTGACTTCAAGCACAAACCTTAGCAGTACCACTCTCTGCCCAGGACTTGATAAGAAACAGTGCAGCTCCTGGGATGAAAGAATCTATCCTAACCCCCTATTTGCATAGGCAATTTCTTTATACAAGGAAAATAGCAAAGAAATTTGATTGTAGAAATGTGCAAAATGTAATAGTGAGTAAAGCTTCACAGCTTGGGAGATTTGATTCATCGATGTTTAGCTGAACCTCTCAAGGAGGAAAATGCTGGCAGAAGAGACACATCTGCTTTGACTTCCTGTCTGAAATAAGATACTCAGAGCTCCATGAAAAGGAAAAAGTAAGAAAAATTTTAACCCAGTTTTGCAGAACCACATAAACAAATTGTTTGAGTTCTCATCATAGATTTGGACCAGTTATTTCACTTGAATCAATTAGTCCATCTCTAATCAAGATGAAACTGAGATGGCAAGAGGGCTACTTTATACCCTTCAGTCCCAAAGAAAATATTGGGACAAATCAGCAAGCCAACTGGGACACGTCCCATTTACCTTGTATTCAAAGCATGAGACACAAATGAAGAGGAGATCTAAAATCCTGTTCAGCTGCATGGATGGAAGGTCTGCAATCCATTTCTGAATGAGGTTCTGATCAGCATTCTTCATGATCCAGAGGAAACAGATCAGAAGGTTGCGAGTGGCATCAGGACTCAACATGCTGTACTGTTTGTAAGGCTAGCAGTTTATAAAAACAAACATATATTTGACAAGAGGAGAAAAAGGAGAAAGTCATGTTATTTAAATAAACTAGTGGAGTCTAGCATCACAAGTGCTCCATCTATTCCAGATTCCCTATTTATGATATACCCATTATATTTTCCAAAAGGCACACCTGAGGTTCTGGAATTAGTACTAGGGCGTGGGTGTAAGAGGAAGAGTAACTCCCCACAGTATTTCTAGATGTTACCAGCAACAATCCTAACAACAGCATCAAAAAAAAAAAAGAGTCCTGCCCAAGTGCTCCCAATTCTGCAGGTAATGATATTTAAATATGTTGCCTGGCTGCTTTATGGAGCATGTTGAGGGATGCTTATGACTAGTGGTGGTGGGATGGGGTCCTGTGGAGGAAGGGGTAGAGACAGTGCAGTGTCTGGCAGTGACTGAAGAAGAAGCGGTACAAAAACCAAATGGCTGTGGGAATCTGGCTCACTTTGGCAAAGGCAAACCAGCAGGCTGCACGGATTCAGCTCATACAGGTTTCAAATCCTGCTGGAATAAGTGTCTCCCTTGATAACCCAAGCCCCTGCTGAGCTGTAGATTGCCAGGAACCACAGGGAAAGAAGGACAGAAAATACTAAATGAAAACAGTAGGAGGAAGGAAGGAATGAACGAGGATAGGCTAGCAAAGTACTGCACACATACCAGTGAAGACAGAGATACACCGGAAGTCCTGAGGAGGCTAAACTGATTCCCAGCAATGGCCAAGGCAACAGACTGATTGATTGTAGATTCTTGATCTTCATCTGGATTCCCTGAACGACCTTTCCCACCACGAGCATCTGAAACTAGATTTGAAGCATCTCACTGACACTGCATAGTACAAGTAAATGTAGCTTTGGTTTTCTAAGTATCACGTGATGGCATGGTCCCCATATCCATCCCTGTTGGATGGAATGAATCAACTCTTATTCAACTGGTATTGAATCAACTGGTATTTCTCTTAGTCATGGCTTGTTAAGGTGAAATAGTAATGGAGTAAAAGGAGAGAAGAGGAATAATATTACCAGCATATTGTGCACCAAAGGAGCGCCTACACATTCCTCTTAAGTGGGCTTAGCCTAAAATCTCCATTTTTAAGATGCATGAAGGGCACAGGTCAACACGTGCGCACCCTTACTGCGCTTTAAAAATGTCAATTTAAAGCTATGTATGCCTACATTTGGTACCTGCATAAAGACGGTATCAAATTTAGGTGGGATAGCCAAGTTGCATTAATGCACATGTGGATGTGCTAATGTGCATTAATGTGGTGTGCATCAGTGGATATACACTATATAAATGAGCATTAGTGTGTTTCCACATGTGCTGATGTGAGTGCCTTAATGTGCATTAATGTGTCCACATGTAGATGTGCACCTAAATCACCTTAATGTGCCTTAAGGAAAGGCATGTTAAGTTTAGGCACATGTAAATGCACATGTAGACATGCCCAAAGACTGTCAAGTTAATCAAAAAAGCATATGGATAGAAGGATCTGTTCAAATCCTCTCCGGCTGTTTTGAAAAAAATTGTTTCGAAGGAAAAACCATCAGGGGACCTGAGGATTTTACAACACTTAGACTAGGTCACTTTGTGCCATGTTTAATTGGCATTACCTGGTTAAGTATCACCACCAAAACTGTGTACATGGGTGTGGGACTGTTACAGAAATATGTACATAGGTACAAATCTAGCAGCTGTTGACAGAAGAGCTTTTTAAGTGTTTAGTTTAACTAATCTGATGCAGCCTATAGAAAAACTGAGTAGGAAATAAATTCTCTAAGAATGAGTGTCCAATTTAAAGGCATTTAAGCCTGGTTTTCCGAGGCGCCAGGTGACCTCACCTGATGTGGTCAATATCTCTGTAGTGGGTTGTTACTTTCATAATATAGGTTTTGTTTTCCTTGGGACAAACTTGTAACCACAGGAAACAACATAAAGTATAAAACAAGCAAGCATATAAACAATAAATGATTAAACCAAACCCTGTGGTCCATTCCCAGATCCTGAGACAGTAACCCCAGCTCTGCACAGCACCTCCACCTTCCCTTTCTCCCTCAGCTCCCTTCCCTAGGAGTTTTAATTTCCTCTGGGCCATCCAATCATCCCCACTAGTTAACCCAGTCCCTCCTAGGCAGGCACACAGGCAGGCAGGCAAACTTATTTCTACCACCTGCAGCTGGGCTGCAGCATCCAAGCCAGGCATCCTGTTAAAATCTCTAAAAACAAGCCCCATGGCATCTCATCTTAGACACCAAAAAAGAAAAAAGAAAAAAAAGAAAGGACACCCCAAATTAGCGTCACTTTGGAACATTTAGGACTTTCATAACTATCCCTGTTTTCTCCTATATGACATAAAGATAAAACCTATCAAAAGGGTATAATGACACTTAACTATGTCAAGCACTTTTACATTTTTGGATGGTAAGAAATAATATTTATTGATGATGTGACTGTTTTATTCCAGGGACTCTTGCATAATTAGTGACAAAAATCTTAGGTTCTCAAAAAAAAGTTTCCTTTTTTCCACTGTTGCCATAAGTTTTTCATGTAAGTGACAGGTACTTTCGCACGTAGCAAAGCAGAGCACTGCGTTTTAAAAGAATATCAGCTACTTTCAATGAAAAAACACAAAACAGCTATTTGGGGCAAATTCATACGAATCCACTGGAATATATAACTGAGTAAAAGAGCTAGAGAACTATTTAAAAACAAAACTAAAAAACTAAACAACCTCTTCCACCCCACCCAGAATACCTCCAGGATTACAAGATTCTGATCAGCATTTATAGTGACACTCAGTAAGATAAAAATTATCTTCTCTAGCCTTGAACACGTTGGTTACATTTGTGCAAAATGAGTCTTGTAACTACAGTACCACAATGCTAACAATACTAAGTGGTAATAGAAAGATGAATACATAATGTTCACTCCCAAAATTAACTGCATCCAATTCATTTGGTTGGGAATTTTAAAAATTATGTAACAACATGACAGTATTACTTTTGTTCTCCTTCCTAATGCACATTTTAAGCCATTCAGGGCTGGGGCCATGTGTATATGCTACCTAGGATAATAGTAATAATTACGCAGCTAAAACTATCTCCTTTATATTTTGAGATTCAGGTCACTTAAATTACTCAGTGAGGACAAATTAAAAAAAGAGGGCCATACCTGTGAAGTCATAGAGCTGTGGGAGTGCATCCAAAATGATCCCAACCAAAGGGAGGTAAAGAGCAGCAATTTTGACCTTCACCTCTTTTTTGGAGCAGCGCAGGTCTAAATCATGGGAACTCAGCAAGCTATGGATAGCACTGATAGCTTTCTTCTGCACCTTACCAATTCTGTTGGCACAAAAACAGGAATTAGTTTTGTTATTGTCACATGCAAGTTGTGCAGACCAGAAGCAATAAGAGATGATTAGTGGGGGGAACGAAGGCAGAAATCAACTACTCAGTAATTATAGGATAACGTGTTTTGCTATAATCACAAAGTAACATTTCAGTTTGCATTCCCAGAAGACCTGCAAATGAGTAGAAAACATTTGACAAAGGGCCTCCAAGTAATTCATCCATTCTAGGCAAATTCAACTCCGTGGAGAAACGAAGACCATTTGGAGACAACCACAGCTATGCATTTACCCAAGCCCTTCAGCACACAGACAGCAATGTTTTCAAGACCTTTGCTTAGCCAAGAACAGAAGAAAGTTGCGAGCTGTGATGTAAAAGCATGACATTTTCCTGCATATTTAAGTAGCACTATTACATATAACAAGACATACGCATTCATTGAGGCAAATGTTTTGCACCTAAAATGATTATTGTTATGTTACAAAATGACCTATATACAATTACCCATCAGGTTGGTGAAGTTTCTATCTCTTTTACTATGGCAAGAGCATTGAGAGCTATGTGATCCTGGCTTATGCTAGGATGTTCTAGTCTAGTTATCACTAAAGTCTATGTTAAAAGTTAAAAAGATCTTTCATCTTTACCAGAGATTATCTTTTTGAGCAGAATATATTTTCCTTCCATGCAACTAGCATAGATTACCTCTTTCTTTCCTACCCTGACTTTGTCTCACTCCAGTTGCCATCTTAGACAACGAACTTGATGGTTTTCCTGGCTCAGTTCAGGTCTATTGCAGACGGTGGTTTGATTGTACATTTATTATTGGGAGCATTACTGCAATGGATGCGTGGTTTGTTACCCATATGCTGAGGGGTGGGCTTGAAGGATAATCCACCAATATTCTTGAATGTAGACAAGGTCCATTAAACTCTAGAGTCCATCCATTCTACTCCAATACAGAGGGAAATACAGGTAGAGGCCTTTCTTGCGACGCTGTGACACTACCGCTATACACTTTCCATGTGGAAAACAAGAAGCTGGACATGAAATCAAACCCAGGTCTATCAGGTGATAAACAATCTGTACTGATCACAGGGCCATCAGGATAATCCTCGAAAAAAAATAAGAAACCTACCCCTCTGTCTCTGTGTCCAGGGCAGCTGCCAATTCAGTGAAGAGCAGTCCAGTCAGAAAGTGCTGCTGACGAAAATCTGCTGAAAGGTCAAACATACTGGCAATTTTCTGATCCTGGAAACTAGAGCAGGAGCTTGAATTCTGGAAAAGTATATTAGGTGTTTTAATGGATTATCAAAGAAAAAACAACTCATTAAACAAACTACAGTGACAGCTCATGGAAAATACATCTAATAGGTCACTCTGTTGAAAGGATGGACTATGATGTCAGAAGAATGTAAAGCTTTACAATCAAATTGAGTAAAATCCCTATGAAGCAACACATTTCCATGAATATTTAGAGCAAGCCTAAACTACTCAATAGTGAATGCTGAGTGTGGGTAAGTAGTGCACAACATTTTATTCAGTGAAATCAGTCTCTCTTTCCGTTTGCTGTTTGCCATCTTATAACACTCAAATTTGTTTTAAGGAATTATCATATCAGCAAGTGGTTTCTAAGAATAGCCCTCATTTTATTAATTGTGCACAAGCAACTTGCTGTAACTATTTGATGTGCAAAGTCCAAACTATATTTGCTAGCATGGATAGGGGACAAAGCCAGAATTTCCCCTGGGTTCAGGTGTTTTTTATTGCACTCTGCCAGCTTAAAGTAGTTACAAACTGGCTTAAGGGAATAGACACATGAACAAGTTACCAACAGGTAACTTAGTATGTGAAATTGCAGCCTATTAGCTACTCCACAATCTGTGCAAGAGAAAGCTCCAACAGCAAAGGCACTGCATAGGGACTTCTTTGCCACCTCCTCCTGACACCTGCTGTAAACGTGTGGCCAAGCAAGATGGAAGTTTAAACAGTGTTTCCCTGAAGCCTGGCAATCTTTGGCTCGGGTTGTTTGCAGCTGGTATAATTTAGAGCAGCCTTCAAACTCCTGTAACTTATAGCTGTGGTCTGATATATGGCCAGCCAAAGAATGGGAAGTTGCTGCTGAGTTTGTATTTTGAACTCCTCAGCTGCAATCATGATGCTAGGTTGGCAGGTCACTTGGCGGGTTTTGTTCCCTGACCAGGCAAGCATAACTTCTAGAGTCTATTTCCAGTACAAAAACAAGTTGAGAAAGTTCACAATTTGCTTTTCATTTATATTCTTTAGCATTCACTTGAACATTTCTTCCAATGAACTGAGAACAGTGCTGCAAAACAGATTGCAACACTCTGCCTGCCACCTACGTGTAAAATGGGCTGAATCAAGACCCCACAGCTGAAGACTCCCAAACTTTAGGGCAATGAAAATCTGCATTAAGAACCAGAGACATGAGAGCACCATGACATCTTGGAACCCAGACAGTTCAGTTTTGCCTGTTCGGAGTAACAACTGGATGTTCCATGCCTTGGTGTGTGAATTTTCTACATGGGCTCTTCACAAAAATTGCACAAGATTTATCCCCAAGGCCACCTTATTGAAAAACCTAACTCTAGTTGGCAGCTCTCCTGTACACAGAGCAGAATTACTAAACTGCTGACTAGTTACCAGATTAAATCATGCAAGAGCAGCGAAAAAGCCCTATTGATTTGCATGGATTGCATTTTGTAGGTTACTCTTAAAGAAGAAGAGAGTTCATGATGTTTCCTGAGGAAGAGACTGATCCTAATTGGTTTCTGTCCAGGTTTGACCCAAAATATCTATTTCAATAGCTGTGCACAATTGCCATTTTCTTGCTTTCTTCCTTTAAAAAAAAGAAAAAAGAAGAATCCCATTTCCAGATCTTTTGTGTCAAGAGGTAGCCTTAAGAAGAAATCTTGATCCTCAAAACCTCAAGCTTTATATTAATTAGCAGAAAGGAGCCTAAAACATGCATCCTTTTTTTTTTTTTTTTAATTTTATGAATAGTGACCTATTTGTATACTTAAGATACGGGTTTGGGAAGTTTTAAGGGCTACCTTTATCGATGCTGTATATCATCAGCTTTTTGGTAATACCCCTTAGAAAGAATATATGAACTTGAACTTTCAAAATGAACCTCCCAGCTTCTCAGGGCTCCTTTGTATCTCTAGTGACCTCCTACCTTTCTTCTTACGGTCATGGGAAGAAGCCATAGGCTATAACTTTAATTATTTTTTCTTTTGATCCATACCACTCATTTTTGGGACTAAGAAAACGTATTTCTATTTGAAGAATCTTCAGAGATAATGGTTGCTTTTCTTTTATAGCTAAGAGACATAGCCTCTCTAATTAGTTAGGTTCTTCCTGGGACAGGAGGCTCCAGTACTAACCTAGGGAAATGGCAATGGGAAACATTTCCATTTTAAGCTGAGCAGGCACTACACAGCCCAGGAAAGTAGTTAGGGAATCACCTATTTAGGGATTATGGGGCTCTTTTGTGCCAGAAGCTACTTGTACACCCCTGCTTGATGCCCTGCAGCAAGTTGCAAGGTAGGTACCACCTGAAGAATTTAGGGTAAGAGAGGACAAAACCCAGGAAGAAAACAAGTTTGGGGTGCCAGCTATGGACTTCTCAGAATATGGTTAGGAGTTCAGGGAAAGAAGGACAGCAGGCAAGGATACACAGTTGTAGGGAGAACATCCAGGGCTATGCAAATACTAATCTAGATTTGCAAATTGTGTGCGTTTCTGGGATCTTACTCATGGGAAGAACAAGACAGTGGCCTGAGGCAGATTTATGAATATTTTGCAGAGTTCTACCTACAACATAAATGACCCTATACAAAAAACCAGGAAGTGCAAACAGAAGGGAATATTGACTAGGGAATACTGAAAGAGGCATAACAAAATCGAAGTTTCACTGTGAAACTCTAGAAAAGCAAAGTAAGTCACTACGGGAAATGAAAAGCAAGCTAATACTTTGCTTTCAGCAGCATTTTCTCTCTATTAGCAGAAATCCACGTTTCAGTCAATACCTGAGCATACAGGCACCATCTCCAAGACATGAGAGAGGCCAGCAAATTGAAAGCCAGGTGCCAGACAATCAGCCGATTTTTGGCTGGCTCTAAGTCTGCTCAGGGCTTGAACTGGCCCCAGCATGGTCCCTGGAGCCAGCTGACAATTAGCTGATCATCTGCTGTAGCAGGGCTGGTTCAAGAATTGTATGGGGGGGCAGTTTGAGCCCTCAGGCAACAGTCAACCGATCATCTGTCGTAGCAGAACTGGTTCAAGTCCTGGTGAGGTCCTAACCCTGTCGCACATTCAGTTTAAGGCATGATGGAACCCAGCCACAAAAAGATATTATATATTTTTGTGACTGGTTTCTCTTTTTGAGGAGCCATTAAATTCCTCATATGTGTGGCCAAGTTACTATTTAAGACAGGATTAACCTACTAACCTTGTTTTAAGCATAATGTCTACCAGGGGACAGAGTTTGTGTCCTTTATCTAGGGACTCACATTTTGCTGCATATTTCCATAAGTTATAATGCACTGTAAACAGATGTTGCCACTGGTATGAAAAAATATGCCCTTTATCCTCACAAACATACTTCTGCTATACATAGTGAGACCATGGGTTCTCCAACCCCCCATTATGGTATTTTTCACCACATCTACTGAAAAAAATCACAATAAAACATACATCTTTGCCCTTTCTGCAAGACAGTTAATCATTCTTGATATTCCCAGGATGGCGGATTAATTTAGACCTAAAAAGCTGATTACAATACATACTGAACACATTCTTCTCTTCCCTATGTGTACTTCACATGAGGGAGATGGACATGTGGCACTGTACTGAGTGATGCCTACCTGTGATGATAACGAGGGTGAGGGAGATGTTGGGGTAGATACTGAAGTCATGAAGAAGAGATTCAGATTGAGGTAATGTTCATGGCTGCAAAGAACTCGCAGAAACTCCAACCTCATGGAAATTAGGGTGGAGAGTGTATTCAACTTGTTTGACAGCTAGAAAAACAAGACAGAGGTGTGCAATTTACAATTATAGATAGAAAAAGATCCTGTCTCCTGAAACAGAATAGGCCAATATAATAAAAACAACTGAGAAGCAAAAACAGATGCAGAAATGTTCTCTGAATTCTTCCATCCATTAGCTTCTCTTTCCTTAATGGTGATGATGGTTGTCACTTGGCCAAACTCCCAAGAGAGGATCAATAGTTATTTCCTCCCAGAAAAAAAAAAATATAGCGACTCTCACTTTTGCATGCAAAGTAATTTGCATCTGATGTGTTTGCCTTTTCTGTAATATTAAAATTGACTTTAAAAATAACAACCCCTGTTGTGTCTATGGCAAACTAAATGCAGGAACATGCCCCACCTTTGTGCAACACAACTTCAACAGTGCAGTTATTACCATTCACGATGGCAAAAGCACAGCAGAAACTATGGAGAAACACTTGTTGACTTCAGTGGGCATAGTATACGCATGTCTGATGACCTCCTTTTGGTCAGATGTGAAGGCTGTTACATGGATCACAAGATCAAAATGCTTAGAAGAAAAACCATGGAGACATCTAAAAGTTTTAGTAATGGAAACTTCATACATGTTTATAGTGGGTTCTTCAAGGTGGATTTTCAAGCAGAGACTTTTATAAATAACTCAGATGGTTAATACTTGACCTAAATCTTTTTAACTAGGACTAAGGTCCAGATACTCACTGCCATTTCCACTCTGTGCAGTGAATCCCATAGTGGGAGAAACAGCCCCCAAACACTGCAGATGTTAAAAGCAGCTCCTATTTTAGGTAGGTGCCCTATGGCTGATTCAGTGCCTACTACCAGGCTCCCAGAAGCAGGGAATCTATCCTACCCTTTCTACAGCACTACTAATCTCAGCCTCTTGTTCAGAAAAGGAGTCACAAACAGGGCAGAACATAATACCATATTTAATTCCAGGACTCTTCCAAATGGTGCCTACCTGATTACAGTAATGTTTGATGAGGTTAAACACGAACCCACGGTCCATTAGGGAAAGAAGATCATACAAGAAAAACGCAAGACTAATGTTGATCTTTTCTGCTTGCTCGGTTTCCTTTAACAAAATAAATGCAGTTACAATACATAAGAAAATACAGTGGCAGAAGCTGTATTACTACCATTAGTTAAAAACAGACTGGGTACAGTACTATCCAGGGAAACACCAGGAAAAAGACTAGGCAAGTCTCTTTCCACTTCTAATGTATATGGGTTTTATAAAAATATATAGTATTGTTCCTATATAATCATTTCAAATGTTTATGGACATGACTATCCCAGCAAGATAAAATAAAAATTATTACGTCTGTGGGAAATGTAGCACAAGCCTTTTGAAATATAATTTAGTATTGTCATTCACAAGCTTTGTCTAACTAAAGTTATCCTAAGTTTAAACAACATTAAAACACCAAAAAACCCCCAGAAAAATTGATTAGCTAGTATTCAGGTCCAAATATAGCTCATTCATGACTGCAAAAGGAGTTGCAGGATACAAGATTAAACAGAAGCTCTCTGATTCATTTTTCCACATTTATACTTTTTTGTTTAGATGTAGCAGTCCATTTCCTGTGACCTTTACTTGATGCTATAAAATATTTTCCTACAATCCTCATGAGGCAGCTTCCCAGCTACAGAAAAGCAAATCAGGGATATTACTGCAGAATGTGAAATGAGTTATTTAAAAGAATACCATATTTCCACACATCTAACATGCACCTTGTTTTTGCAAGGCATTATAAAGATTTCTCCCCCTCCACCCTACATTTATGACTGCAGAGAGCAAGAGCAGAGGCTAATCTTCAGCTGACTCACCTTCCCCTTCCTGCTTAACTAAAGCCCTAGCTGCTGCTGAAGGCTGGTCTCCACTAGTAGATCTCTGATCTGGAAAAGAGCTAAAGAGCTGCAAAATAGAAGGGGAGACCAAGAGACCTAGTAGACAGCAAAATTCCCCTAGAAAAGGTTAGCTTCTTTAGTGGGACCTCAATGCTGTTAAAAAGGTTATTTGAATACCTGTAAAGTGAAGAACCCTGAGCCATTAACTCAATGGTCCATTAATAAGCCATTCACTCCCTTAGCTATCTGAAGAGTAGTACCAGAGCTGCTGCACTATGGAGCAGGAACTGAAGCAGGGTGCAAAAAAACCAGCTTCCCTGATTAATAAATATATTCTAATTTTGGGGGGCTGATTTTAGGGAAAAAGGTATATCCAAAAATTTGGAAAATGAAACAAGCAGGTTGCTATTGCATGTGGTAAAAATCTGTAAAAAAAAAAAAAAAAAAATCACTTGAATGTCATCCATCGTTGCTAAGCAATACTAATACATGATCCCAATTCTGTAAACATTCCAGGTAATTTTAGAAGAATTTTCATACATGACAATCTTTCACTGTTAACTCCCGCCATTCCCCAGTCCTTGCCCTATTAAAAAAGGATCTAGTTGACAGTACTTTCTCTACAGACTATTTATGTCTTTTCTGTGAAGAAACCATTAAAATATTGGAAAGAAAATGTGCCAAGCTTCTTCAGAGCAAAAATTTTAAATGTTTTTAGAACACTTTCTACATAATATGAATCAATTCCTCTCCCCGCTCCAAACCAAATGCTTTGAAAGATTTCAGTGACCCAGATATTTATTTAAACATTGCTCTGCTCCACACATTGAACTCACACGTAAGGACCAGAAAGCGAAACAAAGGCCATGCACAGACATTATATTTGTAGTACTATATGCACCCTTGTAGCACTACAGGGGGTGTACATACATGCACTCCACCTGTAGCACTACAAAAATGGCTGCAGCACTACAAATATTTCCATTTGAATCAGGAACTTCTCTGTAGCTCTACCTTTTGTAGTGCCACATTTAACTTTTGCACCATTACATGCAGTGCTACAGAGGACCCATGGGCTACAGACAGATGTTACACATAAACTGGTTTAAGTGATCAGAAACTGGTTTAAACCTGTAACAGAACAGATGTTCAGTGCACATAAACCAGTTTGAAAATGGCTGAAACCGGTTTAAGATAAACCTGGTTGAATGTAGTATCAGACTTAACTGATTTGGCTCAAACTATTTTATGCAATGTCTGTCCCAGACCCCTTGCCGGTTTAAGATAAATCAGACTCCCCCCAGCATCCCGGCATGCCCTCTGGGCTGGGTGGGGCTCTCTGCTCCACAGAAGGGCTGGCCCCTCCCTTCTGCTCCCTGGCTGCAGCTCTGGCAGGGACAGCAGGCTGCTCACCTCCCTCCCTCTCACCATTCTCTGCTAAGCAGGAATTCTGCCCCCCACCCTGCCTTGTGGAAAGGTGTCTGTGTATTAGCTAGCAGACCACACGCTGGTCACAGCCCATGCTGAATCAACAGGTAGTATTAACAGGTAGCTGGTAATGTTCCTCAGTTGTTTTCTTAATGGGGTGATAAACACTGAGTTAGAGGTGACAAATACAGTTATCAATTCCCTGCTGGGCTAATCAGAGGATCCTGCCATAGCCTGGCCACGTCCCCCCTCAGTTCAGTACTGGGCAAGGGAAGGGAGGGCTGCTTTAGCGCCCCCCCCCAGCTTCAAGCCTGACCCACTGCAGGTGTGTACCCGCATTTCTGGGGTGTCTGTCTGTTTACAAAACTGATTTAGGCTATCCACATCGGACTAACCGGCAAAGATTGAATCAATTCAGGCTCAGGCTTTTTGAATGTCTATCCCTAGCCCTGCAGCATCCCACAGTGCTCTGCTCTCCTCCCACCCCTCCAAAGAGGAAGGGAGGGAGAGAAAGCAGCAGGTAACTGCAGGGATGCAGAGCTGTAGCCAAGCCAGGAACAGGGACTTCAGTTCTGTTCACTTCAGCAATCTGTCAGAGACCATGATCCCTAGGCAGCAGTGGGCTCTCCTTGTTGCCCTCCTGTCACAGAGCCTGCTGCTGTCTCAGTCTTAAAAAAGTGGGAATTCTGCTTGCCTTGGGGCACAGACACTTGCTGCCACAGTGCCAGAAGTGGCAGGCACCAGTGCTTGCTGATCACTGACAGCCTGCCCAGTGAATGGGCTCTCTGTCAAGGGAGTGGGCAAGCTGTCAGTGATTGTGCTCACTGAAGAGCTTCTCAGGGGGCACAGGGAAGGAGGAACAAGGAAATAAGAGAAGCAATCCTTTATCACCCCCTCCCTGGAAAACATACCTTTGCAATGATTTTGTAACACTCTTGCTGGGGGAGCTACATGTGTGAACATTCTTCATAACAATATATTTTTGTACCTCTCCACAGACTGAGACTTTGTACTGGTAGGGAAGCTTGTGTCCCCCAATGACCCTCAGAGCTATATCACCCAGAGTCTCATATCCCTGGCAGGGTCAACCACGGTGAACAGTCCTGAGGGAAGGTTCCAGACAAATCATGGTCCAACCCCAAGTCCTCAACGGTGGATCAGGTGGAAGAAGATTCGAGGATCTCAATGGCTGCAGCAAGATGGAGGTCTCCTGTATTCTAGGATTCTCCCTTGCCACTGGGTTCAGATTTCCACCTTTTCAAGATTATGTGGTTCCTGTTTCTGTGCAGAAGCTTCCTCATGTTAAACAAAGCCATGCACAGACTTCTACCACAGGAAACAACACATCCTCCTGTACTACCCTACAAAGGCCCTGTGGCAATAGACCAGTGGTGATGGAGGCAAGATTAGTGAATCTGGCAGTCTCTAGCCACGAATCTACATGCAAACAGTGGTAGCTGATGATCATCTTGCACCTAGATTGAGACAGGGTTGCAATTCAGCAGCTGCTACCATGAATGAGCAGTCCTATTCAGGATTTCCTCTGCTCACCCCACATGGGGAAGGGGCTACAAAAGGTGCCCTAAACCTATACTGTCTTATCTGCTCCTGGCTGGGTAAGCATGTCCAGTAAGATCACTCTGCAGTTGAAAACATTATAAGATGACAATAATTTTTGCAACATAGAGTGTTCATACCTTGATGGATAACCAAGACAATAAATGACCAGAGAGAAGAACTGCCATTATCTCCAGGGAACTAGTAAGATACAGCATTGACAGTGCAGCTCTGAATGAGAACAAATGACCAGATGAGGGTCAGCTAAGGGAAGAGGGTGGAGGCTACACTTTCTTCTGGAAGGGGAAACTGGCCCAGAACAGATGTGTTCATGGCATTGGCTTTGCCATCAAGAACTAGCTCATGGGTCAATTTACAGAGCTCCTTGTGGGCATTAATAAATGTCTTATGAGCCTTCATCCTAATCTCAGTAACAACTAGTATGCTACCATCATCTGCACATATAACCCAATGCTTGATGCTGACAATGACATCAAAGAACAGTTCCACTCCAACCTCGACCACATTCTAATACTAGCAAGGAGGACAAGTTCATTCTCCTCAGTGATTTCAATGCCAGGGTTGGATGTGACCTGGAACTCTGGAGTGGCATCACTGGGCAGGAAGGAGAAGCAAAAGCCAATTCCAACAGCATCCTTCTCCTGAGCAAAGACACAGTGAACAGTCTCATCATCACACACTTGAATTTTCAGACAGGAGTAACAAAATCAACAGCTTGTGGAGACACCCTTAATCTAAGCACTGACCCCTTCTTGACTATGGTTAGAAACTATAGTTAGACTATTGTTAGAAACCATGATTGAATGAATGCTTGTATCACATGAGCCACGCCAGAAACCGATGACTGCTGGACAGATCACAGTCTTGTCAGATCCATTATGAACATCTGGCTTGCTCCAAAACACCAAAAACAACAACTAAAAGCAACAGAAAGACTCTCAATACCAAATCAAGACCCGAATCTCTGTAAGGATCTCCAACAGTGTCTCTATGGAAAGCTCTCTGCCCTGTCCACAAAATAAGGCAACAGTGAAGAACTCTGGAAGGGGTTTAAAACAGCCATTCAGATGGCCTTTGCTGAATCCACTGGCTATACCACTAGTCAACACCAAGACTGGTTTGTGGAGACTGACACCAAGATCCAAGCCTCCTCAACCAGAAAAGAAGGGATCATTCTGCTTGGCAAGGTGACACCTCATCTCAGCAAAAGGAGGTGTACCAGCATTTCAAAGCTGAAGCTCAAAGAAGAATCCGGGAAGTCAAAAATCAATGGTGGCCAAATAAAGCTAAAGAGATCCAGCTCTATGCTGACAAACATGACATGCACATTTTTCCAGGCAACAAAATACACCTACATATCAACTTCCCAAGGTCCTACTTTCCCAAGATCACAGTATGGTTTGTTTTGAGGTAAAGCATCTTGTCCTCGAACCAGAGAAGAGAGAGCAGAGGAAGGAGAAGGAGAGAAAGCCTTGTCTACAGCCTACTCTCCTCCCTGTGGAAAAAGACCTGCAACTTCTGTGGATGGGTCTGTGGCTCAAGGACTGGACTCTTAAGTCACCTGAAGACCCATCAATGAGCTGTTGTAGAGATCATTCTTGAATCAAGGGATTGCCGATGATGATAACATTTTTGTAGGACTGCAAAGTGCTATGGCACATGCAATGCTACAAATGCATGTCTGTCTATGGGCTAAGTGACTTACTACATTTGCTTGCATACAACGTGCCTTGAAATATGATGCACACCTTGTTTTTGAAAGACAGAACAAAGCAAAAAAGATCTTTCCTCACAAGTAAGTAACTGAGAAACAGCAGCTAGTGAGCTGAACCTGCTCATTTTTCTTCTCCCTGTGGACTGAGTGCAGACTTTACTTTTCCTTTTGCCTGGTAAGTGACAGCAACTGCTCTTATCTTATCATCTCTCATAATAAACACTCCAATTTCTATCTGCATTTTTTTTGGGGGGTGGGGGGGAGGCATGTTTGGTATGTGAGAAAATATACCATTCAAAGGGGAGTGTAAATTCATGAAGTAAACAAATACCATAAAACAGGAAAAGCAAAGTTAGGCCTTTACATTTTAAAGACTAGAATCTAACACGTTAATGTAACCTATTTAAAATGTATCATAGGAATAAGGAGTATTGAGGTTGGGGATTTATTTTTGCTCTGAGTCATTAATGGCATCTCTTTGAAGGAGATTATGATTAGAAAATTTGAGGGTGGATTTTGCATCCTCAGAGTGCAAGTTATTCAACTTCCTGATTAATCCCACTGAAACCAGTGGAACCAATCATGGAACTGTTTCTATACAACATGAATGAGGATATCAGAATCTGCCGCACAAGGATGGGTACATGAGAAATAAAGTGGAAATATTGGTAAAATTCATGTCTGGTAGAACTCCAATGAGGTTAGTAAATCAGGCTCAATGTTTCTATGGATATTTCCCAGGAGATACAACAGAAAGGAACCACTGCATTTATTTTCTTTGTACTTACCTTCTGTGGTTTAACTAGAAGTGCTGCAATCTCTGAAGTGACCACATTAACTATAGTGGTGATGTCATCTTTGAAACGATCTGAGAATCGACTTCTTCGTGGAATGTCTTGTTTCCCTATATTGTGAACATACTGAGCCATACTCTTTACCTGCAAAATAGAAAGTACTGCTGCCACACTACTGCTTTAAAGTTGGCACTGCAGCCTAATTCTACACAACCTTCCTCTTGACATAGTCTATTATAACTGCATACTAGCATAATCATAAGCTGCCTACCTGTGGCCCAAGGACTGAATGGGAAGGGAGACAACTATTATATCCTTAATTCTCTGAGCTGACACTAGATAGGTGTTGAAACACATAAGAGAGGTTTGTAATGCTGCTGTTTTTGCTGCACCTCTTTTGTACAAAGAGTAAGCTTTTAGTATTCATTATTTGTTGACTGTCCACATTACCTTGCATGCTACAGAGAGGAAGGTACAAGTCTTTTCATCATCAGGACCAGACTGACAATATCATTATTACCCAGATGAAGTTTTAAAATAAAAGGCAGTAATATTTTAAAACATTTTTATGGAGGTATATCTGTGAAAAGCTTCATAAGAAAGGGAAAATATTTCATGAGAGGTCTGAATGAAGACAGGACAGTTATTCAGTGTACAAGGAGAGAAAGAATGCCCTAGGCATCATGCACAGACTCTGGGTTGAGGGTGCTACATAAATTTAAGAAAGAAAAAAAGGGATTCCAGCTGTCTACATTCATTTTTTATTTCTGAAACTACAACAGATACCACATCTCTCCTCTACCCAGGTTCTGGATTGTGGATGCTGACTGTCAACCAGTTATATGGGACAATATCACTGCTGCTGTATTACCGCCGAAGTGTTGCTATTTCAACAGAAAACTGAAGCTTAGAAAGGAAATACTGTACCAAAGTCTTACCCAAATCCAGCACCTAAAGGTTTAAATAAAGAAAGAGAAAAACATGGCTCTTTTATTCCCATTCCTATTTGTTTTCTATCCTACATTCCTGCTGCACCCCGAACTCCCCATGAAGTCATCCCTTCAGTAACACAACAAAGAGGAATGATGATCAGACAGTGAGGAATTCTGGATGCACAGAGAATGTGGGATAGGTGGTTTGGTGAAAACAATGGGCTGCTGGGTGTAGTTCTCACCCTGCCGCGATGTCAGGCATGGGGTGTCACTTTTTTGAATGAGTTCCTACTTCTAGGCTGGCTGGTGGATGCTTTATAGGCTGTCAGTGTAAACCAATCAGTCAGAATATTTTTCAGCAACATCAATCACCTCAGTCCTCTGAGTAAAAACACCTGCGTGTGGAGCCCCGTCACTATAGTCCATGCTATAGACAGAGTGGAGAAAATGACAGCTGGAAATGAAGGAAAGGTTCCAGCTTGCCTTCTGTCTTTCCTCACTTTGCCAGGATTTTTGGGAAGTTGTTTCTTCTGCTGGACAGCAGGGGCTGACAGAGTTGGATCTGAACCAAAACCCACAATACAACCCCTTCTCCACCACCCTCCATACAACACCTTCTCCATCACCCCTTCCACACCACTTTGAGGAAGGTCATATCTAAAAGAGAACCCACATTTTGTGCTTCAAGTTTATTCCTCTATAAGGGAAGTTCGCTGGACAGACTCTTCACCTCCCCTCTCCCACAAATGGAATGAGTGTGCTCAAGTACTGTGAATTGTGCTGCCTTGTGGGAACAATGACAAATGTGCATCTACAGTTTAGCCATGAACTCAATTTACTTTCCTTATTGTTATATACTGCTCTTATATCTTACCAGGAGCTCAAAGAAGAACCAGGCATACTTGAAGACAGACTCCCTCACCATGCCAGTGCTGACCACCATCTGCAGTGCTAACTCTTCATGAAAATGCTAGATAACAGAACAGAGTATGTTGAGATTTGACTTCAAATTCAACTCACTTCTCAACTCTGAACCCCCAGTAGAACTCAGGAGGGCTGAAATTCAGTCACTATTGCCAGGGTCGTGTAGAAGGCCTTCCATGCTGGGGTGTCCTTTTTTTGAAGAGAGGATGGGAGAGGAACAACTGAGCAAAGAGGGACATCTCTGTATCCCTCCCATGGTGATAAGATGGATTTCAGCACAGTGGTATTAAAGGAGTACTGGGGGCAAGTGGGGTGAAGAGCTACTGTATCTACTTCTATGGAGAGTTAGGACCAAGAAAGCACCAAATCAAGGTCCGGATGGAAGGCAGCCATTACCCAAGCCCAGAGTGCATGAGCTTTATGAATGGTATGTGACGGGTGGTTTCACCTGGTTGTGAGCCCTTCTGTATAAAACTTATATAATTTTTGAGGGTGCTGTTCAGGGTGGATTGTGACTACTAAAGAGTGAGAAAGAAAGAAACACTCAAAACAGGACTTTTCCACTGGAACATACTTGAAGAGAACAACATAAATTTGTTGACGTGTCTGATCCCAAACATCAGGTCTAACTACCCCCAACTTTTAGAAAGCTCAAATTCATACTTTCTAAAAGGTCCATTCTCTTCTCTGTCTCTCTTTTTTGAAGTAAACAAACAGAGATCCTTAACATTTCCACAGTTAAGAACATCTACAGTTTCATTATATAGGATAAAGGAATCCCTTGTGTGACAGAAACAGAAATAAAGCTTCATATTTAAGGGCATAAATCAAAACATAGCAAAGGGCAGCAAGGAACTTGCCCTTCAGGCAACTTATTGCTTAACTGCCTGCTGCAGGGTTTATTGCACCTTCTTCTGAATCGGTCAGTGCTGGCCACTTCCAGAGATAGGATGCTGGATGAAGTGCGCTCATCTGATCTGGTGTCAGTTCCTAGGATCCTAACAAACTAGCCTGGCAACTTGTATTAGGTTAGAGAGAAAGAGTACCATGGTTGTATAACCTGCCAGCAGGGAAAAAACTAAGCAGACTGCCAACTCCTCATAGAAAGAAGGGAGGATGGAGATAGCAAATAGCTTCTTAAAAAAGTTTATTGCAACATTTAAAAAATGATGTAGATGATCTTTGTACAAAGTGACACAGAACCCAATAACTTAACACAGTACTAAAAAAAAGAATCAAAGAGAAACACAGATTGGCAGCCTGCAGGTAGGCATTTAAAATATGGCTATAGTTTGGTGAATGTAAAGCTCAGCTTGCCCTTTCAGTCCTATTCCCCAACCTTGGGAAAAACTGATCCACTGTGATCATTACAAGCTGTAATAGAAAGCCTCTAATATCCTGGTAAATCAAACATACTGGTATTTGCTTGAACTATTTGGGAAAGAAAAATGTTAACAGCCTAGGATCAAGAGGTGGGGTAAGTGATACAAAAGATCATTTATCTATCAATCTACCACTGTTTTCTGACAGTTTCATTTGACAAAACCACTAATTAGTTATTTGTACTTCCTTTGCACCTCACCACAAAGTTGCTGGCACTGTGCATTTTAATAGCTGTCTGCTAACAACGTCTCTCCCAGTTTCATTAATGATCACCCTGACAGTGTAGCAGTCTACCTTTTTACTGGATGGTCTTGGGCTTGTGCAGGCATTTGGTATATCAGCAGGTGGTTCAATATAGTAGGACATCCGACTGCTGCCACGATCCACAACCTGGAGCAAATCAGCCAGACCAAAAAGGAAAAATTAACATAGAAGAATCAGTTGCTAGTTGTAAATAAACAACAAATAAATAATAAATATATATATATATATACACACACACAGAAACCTCCTGTTCCATACCCTCTCCCCCTCCTTACATACGCACACATGCATGTGCACAGCATGTTCCCCGCCCCCAGTAGATGAAAAATTGAGTCAGAATCTGGGAGCTAAAGGATAAAGAACATTTATGATAATAGTGCCACCATGTGGATTATCCTAGCATTGCATTTACAACTTTAAACCTCTCCCCATTTCTCTCTTCAACAAGAGTTGACCTTTAAGTAAATTTCAGATTTAGAACCACCAGTTAAAAAAGGTACCTGGGAGTGTTTTCCACTAAAATAATGTCAGTTTAAATGAAGGTGAAACGGAAGCAGTCAAAGCATTATAAATGGCTGAATTATCAATATAATATTGTTATACTCTGCATCTTAATTTTGTACTAATTTGGGTAGATACAAAATTACCCTGAATTGCGCCATGTTTTAGAAACCAGTACACGGGACTAAAGTTATCAAATATTAAGTTTGCAAGCTTAAAAATGGATATGTTTGAACAGATATATCCATACAAAGAAAGCTGGCAAAGCCCTGTAATTTCTCCTAGCTGTTCTGCTTTATTTCCCTCCAGACATAAGACTCCTCATTATTAGAGATGTTTTTTTCCAGCAGTGTTTTAGAATGAAGCCTAAAAACAACCTGACATATAAGCAATCTTGATGTTGTAAAATGGTATGAAATCTATGGAATGCTGAACAAGGAAGCAGCAGATGATTTTGTGTTACACTCATTTTGTTTGGCTGGAAATTCATGCTTGGTAAAAAAAGAAAATCCATTACCAAATTTTTGGGTGGTGTCTTTTATTGGACCAACTATGTAGTTATGATAGAGTTAGACAAACTTTTGAATGCAAGACATTCTTCTCCATGCCTTGCATTTGAAAACTTGGTTAACTCTATCCCAACTACACAGATGGCACAATAAAAGATATCACCTTAAGAAATCCTTGTCAGTCTCTTGCATAATTTCTGGACCATCATGTTATAACAACATTCTTATGCTACTATAAAAAATGGCAAAGGAGAAACAAAATATATTTCTGCTGGCAATTAGGAAAGGAGTTTTTTACCAAGATCTATTCAGCCCAGTTACAGAATGATCCATTCTCTTGGGGAGTCAAGGCCAGTTTTTTCTTTCAGAAACAGGATCAAGTCCCTCCTGAGCATTTTAGGTACATGTATGAATAGACCCTCTACCTCAGAAGAAAAGGATCATCAGAAACCTGAAAAATACAAATCCTGCAGTGGAATCTCCCACCTATAAAGACAGAATCCTGAGGTCTTTACTCAGGTCTTACTCAGGGGAAAATCTTGTTGACTTGATTGGGATATCAAGAAAGAGTTTGCGATATCTCTGGCACTACACGTTGGTCATCTTGCTGGTACAGGCTAGTTAAGACCTCCTGGTGGTACATGAAGAATTTATTAGCAGGAATGAGTCCAACCCTTAAAATCTGGATTCTCATCCCACTTTTTGCTACTCTAACACTCTCTTCTTCTCTTACCTTTGAAGACATGATGTTTTTGACTTCTTCATCAGTAGCTGTTGGGGTACCAGCAATATCTGGATTGCTGCAGCTCATTACCCGGCTCTGCATAAGCCTGGACCCAACAGACATAGCACTGGTGCGTCCAAATGTGTAATAACGAGACTCTGGCATATTGGCACTGCCTGCTGTACCTGGCCATGGAAAAAGACTTTTACTAGAACCATCCATCATATTAATGCAACATTTTACCCTGTGTTCCTAAACCAAAACATAGGGCAATCAGCATATGGTTTCTGAAACTCTTTCCAGCAACATGACCAACTGTATGGTAATGAAGAGCACCTGCATTCCAGGGAAAGGGCAGTGAGCTGAGCTGCTCAGCACAGCAGACAGCCATATATTACCAGAAGAAGCTCAGAGCAACAGCTTTTTTCCTTCCTTTTTCCCTTCATTTCAGAGACACATGTCTGGACTCAAAAGCCCAGTGGTCTTTTAACATTCAAAAATTTTAGTATTATCTTTGATGTAGGCATTAGAAACAAAGAGCTGGCTTACACATGGAAATCTATCAAAGCAGCTTGTTCTGGAAAAGATTTTGGGTTTGAACTCTATGTTGTCACCCTTCTCCAGAAATTCTAACTGTAGATGAGCCCTGAGACTTACCACATACCATTCAGGCCTATATTTGAGCTCACACTTGTGCAAGGGAGTAAGAACCCTTGTCATGTCCCTCCTCAAAGCTTTAGTCTGTAAATATATGAATATGTCTTTGTTCCATATTTGGGTCATGGCAGAAAATGCAACTATTCCCCAGGAGCCCAGAGGCAGAATGTTAGGAACTGAAATTCTTAGGTGAGTCTATAAGGATGCTGTGTTTCTGGGTCACTTTGGTATATGGACCCCTCTCCCTTTGCTCAGGGCTATATCTACAGACACCTGCTCCACCAATTTATTTATTTAATTGTGCCACCCACTGCACTGTTTTCTTCTCTGCTTATATTCTTCATAGTTTGTAAATGGGAGAATTTTTTAGATCCTGCTCTGTCTTCAAACTGATGACACAAAATGTTTAGAACCAGGCATCTCTGAGGGGTCAGGTCAGAGAGAAAAGGATGCCTTTGCAATTACCTAGTTTGACTACATCTCTCTGAGGCTCTGGAAGACGAAACACATAGTAGACATAGGATGCCAGGAGACAGTTCCTCCCATGCTGATCCTTGCTAAGGTCTTTACTGTTGTGAAGACTGTTTACTATTGCAACCACCGACTCAAAGGCAAACTGGGAGAAGTTGGCTGTGAAATGAGAAAGAAACAAACAAACAGTCTCAACATGAAAGAGTATAATTTGACCAAGCCAAGACATTCTTTTTATTGACAACTGCAATTCATTATTTGATCTGGTCTCTCACAAATTCAAAACTGAGGACAGGAACTAAAGACTGGACCAACTCTGAGATCCATCTGTCCCAGTATCCCATCTCCAGCAGCTAGTCCCAGGTATTTCAGAGGCAGGGTTAGCAACCCTACAGATGGCAAATGTGGGATGAATAGCATCCCCTTACACAGGTCTTACTCTGCTCTCTAATGGTGAGAGGCAGCTAGCCATGTTAGTCTGAAGTCAGAGAAGGTAGAGGAGAGATGCACCTTACAAACTAACTAAATCAGTGATGCATTAACTGTTGTGAGCCCAAGCTCACTTCATCAGATGCTGTCTTATGTCAATATTTAATGGTAAACATTAGCCTATAAGGCAGGAGCATGAGATTTGTATTCCTCCAACACTTCTGTTGATTTTAATTATAATGCTATACAAGATGTCTCAAAAAAAGTATGTGCACTTGGGCTATTAGGAATACAGAGACAATATTATCGACCTGAAGTGCTATTTATCATTTCTATCTGCACTCAAATGATTTTGCTTGCATCCTCATTGCAAAGTGGGTGAGTTCCAATCAGAGTTCAACCAGAACCCAGTTTCTAACCTATCCCCTAACCTGGTAAGATAGCTCAGGTTTAAAGTACCTCCAAATGTGGGTCTGAGGGTTTTTTCTGTGGCTGGTTAGACAGCTTGGGCAAAAAACTCAAACACCCCCAACTTACTATCCAGAAAAGACATATCCTTAAAGTCTTATAAATATCTTCCAGAAGGTAAATTAGAGCAAGATATCAACTTCAAGCTAGCCACGTGTGTAAAACATCTTGCAGCCATATCTCCCGGTTTGCTTGCATCTCAGCTTTAACATCAATGCTGTTCTTGCGGTCAAAGCCCAAGCTTCAGTAAGTACCTGCCTGGCCAGCTATGACCATAGGTTGTACAGCCAGCTGGAAGAGTTTGTCCAGGATCAAGTGTAAAAACAAGATGAGGGGCTCAAGGCGAGAGGAATTCAAGCAGATAATGCTGAGTTTCAACTCGTGTTCCAGTGTAGCCTCTGTGATCTTCTGCTCCATCACTCGAATTGGGAAGGTGACTTGACTTTCCAGGGAATGACACAGAGTGAAGAATTTCTCTAGGTGGTTGTCCTGTCAATACAATGAAGGCTTTTCCACATGACACTAGACAGTTATGGCTTTCTACACAGTTGCTACCAAAAGCTAGTCAGAGACAGATAGAGTTTGCTGATAATAAAGGAAAAAAGTCACCAAAAGCATTTTCCAAAATTTTCTCACAATTTTGAGAAAGCTGAGCAGCTTTAGAAAGTGTATTTCAAAGGAGCTACCACACCATTTATTTCATTCAGTTCATCTGGTACACATCCCAGGCTCTCACTAAGTCACATTATTTAAAAACAAACAAGCAAAAATGTTAGCTCTTCTCTGCAATGTCTCCATTATTTATTCCTTTACATTATTGCACTGGTTCATGGGTAGGAGCTATTGTGGATGACAGTCTCTTTCCTAAGACAGGTGCCTGCCCAAGTAGATACCACATCCACGTAAGTGCCTGTTGCACAGGGGTAACTGCCCTCCACTGGACTCCAGGTCTTTTCCCATTCCAAGTGCTTTTAGGAAGGATGGCCAGGATGGTAAAAAAAGAGGGTAGGAGGGAAATTGAGGCAGTGCATTTAGGAGCACGATAAAGTCCTAAATTCCCAGGACACTGAAATTATCAGTCATGGAGTCCTCATTTAGCCCAAAACTACTTACCTGGACTAGACTTGAACTGGCAACCTAGAGATGAAGAGCTCTGCATCCTATTCACCAGCCTGCCCCCCAAAGTCATCCAAGACCCTAGTAGCCTCTTTTCAATGCAACTTCTGAGGGAAGTAAAAGATCATGCCTTACCTGGGTGTGAACAGAAGAAACAGCCTGCACTTCAACATTAAACACTCCCTTGTGTCCTTCAGCCCATTTAATTGGCGGTGACTGTGGTGGAACTTTCTGCATTGAAGATAAAATAGGTTCCTCAACCTAGCACATCTCCTTATCAGTACGGAAACAGCAAACCCTGAGTAACCACAACTTTGGGGGTGCTTTTCTTTTTTAAGGTAAAAAATAAGAAGTTCTCCAAGTATCCCCATTCTTTTCCACAGCTCTTTAAACTATTCTACACTGGTCCGGTCTGCCAAGCCACCGAGAGCAGTGGTGCAGTTTGGATCTGTTTGGTCTGACTTCCATTAGCTATGTTGCATTAAAGCACTCCCTCTCCCTCCCATACCAGTCTTCTCAGAGGACCCCAAACAGAGCTTCTGCAACACCCCTCCCCCAGGCATTGTGGGATGTTTGGGTGCTCTAAGCCATCAAGAGTAGAGAAGTGGTCATACAAATCAAGCCCCTAGCTTGGAGTAACACAGGCCTCCATGGCCTGCCCTATCATGGCACCTGCCAAACAGATGCTTCTGCTGGGGTTTATTTGGATTGCTCCAAAAAGGATGTGGGGTATTTTGTAAAGTTCTTTTTTTTATTAAAGTTCAAAACATTAATGACGCAGCTTTCATTTGGAAAAAATATTACCACTTAGCAATTTTGTCTGTTACCTCTGGAGAGTGCATTGAATAGTTTAAAGGCAGTTTATCTAAGGCAACAGGAAGACAATAGTGTCCAGTTTGCAGACGATCATTTAACAGAATTGGCAGCCACTGAAACAGAGGAGGCAAAAACATAATATTTATTTCTTCATATGATCATGGCTATTTACCTTGTAAGTGGTAATCCTACTTACCACAACAATGATTAGATAATGACCAAAAGTGTTTTCTCCACATAGTATTTTCTGCCAAATCTTTGCATTTTTTAATTCAGTGATTGCCATCATAGAAACACCATCACAGCCAGACTTTCTATGACTTAAAGTTCCTCCCTTCTGAAGAACAGGTACATACTTTGAGACCAGCATACCTAACCCTGGTAAATCCTATCAGAAGCACAGAGTCTGTGTGTACAAACACTTAATGTTTCCAATTCATAACAGCACATATCATGGTCCGGAGTAATTCCATTGATTTCAATAAAGTTTAACCAGGGATGAACTGAACCATCTGGGCACCCCTATTAAGGTCCTTCAAACTATAGCTTGATGGCTGGATTCTTGTTAATGTCAGAGGTGAAAAAGGGTGCACATTCAAGCTACATGGGTTGGAATAAATTCTTTAATTCAGTATAAGAGATATTAAGTTCTAAAATTGAGTAAAATCTTGTTGGCAAGATGCATAATTTTATTGGCTTCAGTGGAATTATTCATGCACATGAAAGTGAGGAAATTTATGTAAATTTGAAAGATTGGAGCCAATAACAATAATTCAAACTTCACACCTAATGTATAGTTTTTTGTTGTATATGTTTATTTTGTTGAAATTCAAGGTTGAATCTCACTTCCATCCTTCTAAAGGAGATAATTTTAGCCCCCAGCATTTTTGTGTCTGGAGGTCTTCCTTTAAAAGTAAGGTTCTGTATGTATTTTCTGGACGTCAAAGATATTATGGAATTTTTGAGGACAGAAGCATCCTGATACGTACTCTTGTACAGAGCATTTATAGATCCCATCATTTTAGGGATGAAGGTGTTTGGTAGTTCTATATGTAGACAACAGCAGATAAATATTTTGGTAACACACAAGAGACAAATTTTACAAGATCCTGCTGTTTGTTTGCAGACCATAATATTATCAAGAACTTTGGGATGTTTTGGAAAATATACTATCATCATGGTTGTCGCTTTTTAAACTTTTAAAAATGTTAAAAACAAACAAAAAGTTATAACAGATAATACAATGAGCAAACCACTTAAGTAAAAATTCTTTAATCCTATAATGAGGGATGAAATATATGTATTTTTGCAGACAAGACTCTTTGGATATTATAACATTACTGCATGTTCTTAACTTCTGGTTTTTTGATTTTTTTTGTTTTGTTTTTAATTTAGGAAAGGGTCAGAACATGATATAGGATACAGATACTACTTAAAATTCAATTTTAAAATAGTGTTTTAATCATGATATAAATTATAAACAACAGCATATTAGAATACAGTATAATAATAAAAAATAAAAAAATCCACTGGATTTATGAACTATGCAATATACTATATATTGTATAATTCTGCAAAGGTTTATATGTGCATCTAACTTTACACACTATAAGTAGGCACACGGACTTAATTAGGACAAATCACAGTATTTAATTTAATCACTTCCAAAAGACCTTGTAGGTTAGGGGCTTTATATAGCATTTGATGTGCGCAGTGATTTGCATCTGCACTTATTAACTCTTTTGATGCAGGCATAATATTTGAATGTAACACCAAAATTAAAATCATTTATCATTTTCTGGAAATTGTCATACGTGGCTAGAGTGATTTTACCACTTGCAAGAGAAGATATGAGAAAATGAGTTAGCTATTTCTATTAAACCACTGTTTCCATGGGAAGATGAAGTATGATTCACAACCGACTTACTGAGTATCCCAAAAGGTTCTCTACACAGGAGCCTTGCTTTGGCTGACAACTGATATGATAGAATGTGAACAGTAGGTGGTGTTTTTCTGTGAGCTTAGCTGGCAGTTTAATTTTCACTTCTTCATAGAAGTCAGGAGACCTGTAAATAAAAAAAAGGCAAACACCTACACAACTAGAAACATGGAGAGAAAAACTACATTTTCTTTTAAGCTCTTCTTGGATGTTAATTAGGTAGACAGCTCCCTCCAATTGTGTAATTAGCTCAGTTAAGCAAATGAAGTAAATAAACATACATCTCTGACTTAGCTACTCTGCTGACCAGAAGAGAACACACAGTGCTACCAACTGGGAAGCCTCTGATATCCTTCCTCCCCACTCTTTCAGAACTGCCTTCTGCTAAGTTTTTGCAAACACTTCAAGCTGGAGGCCGAAATCACCTGAAAGTGTCCTTTTAGCTTTGTCTGGAATCACTTATTCATCCAAATGAGGATTATAATAAACCCCCAACCATATCTTATACTTCTAAACATATGTCTTAACTTTCAGATATAGTAGTCACGCATACACTTTCAAAAACCAAACCAATGAATAAATAAAAAATACACAATAAAAAACCTCTGTCCAGGATCTAAACAAACAGGATTATCTGAATTCAAATTGTGACAAATCCTCATTGCAGCACATTTTTGGAAAAATATTTTTCCACATAAGTGCAAATTTTCCAAAATAAACTGTGGAGGCTGAGTAGTACCTAAAGATGCCATATACTTAAAGTAGTCCTGAATAAACTATTGGTATTTGCTGCATCACAATAAATACACTTACTTGTTATGATATGTGACAGCTGTGGACATCTCTTGCACAAATTCTGGGCCTGAAGACTTCCCAAAAATGATCTGCATTAAGAAATAAAAATAATACTGATCAGATACACAGCTATGGAACTTTACCATTTATAATCAATTTATGAAGACACCTTACATTAGATGTTTTACATGGCAATATCATGCATTATGTTACAGACTTGAACTATATTATCTCCCCCACAGAGTATTTTTGATGAAACTCCTGATCATTCAGTTTAGAGAAATTAGTTTTCAAAAAAAATCTGTACCAAGCATGTGTGAATTAATATATTTTTCCTAAGTCTTATAATTACCTGGCCAAATTTGGGCAGATTGTCATGCAAGAGAGAGGGGCACATACTTGATATAAAAAGCTGCCAAACTAAGTCCTTCTTCCAGAGCTAACACTTCTTAATCCAAAAGTCTGATTTTTTTTTTTTATTTAACGTGGACAAAACAATGTATTTTTCCCCTACTGTCATTCTGGGAACCCATTTTTTGCTGAAATTTAAAAACACTAGGGCAAAGTATGTTGCATAATAAATTTTAGTTCGAGAAGCAGTTAGCCTGCTTGGTGAAATAATGGGCAAGCTACATGAGCTCTCCAGTTAAAACAATTCTAGTTTGATGCAAAGCCTGCTAAAGACCCCTTAAATGTACAAGAGCCCGAGTTTATCATTCACATGCTTTATCAGTTCTGCAGCTGAGCATTCTCCACACAGCACTGCACAGAGCATTTTTGTTCAGTAGCGGATATAGAAATGGGGCAAGAGCCTTTTTTGGCTGTGCCACAAACTTTGAGCAAGCTTTAAACTCATTGTTGGGTCAGTGCCAACCTCTGCCAGAGCTCTGCTCAGTGATGAACTCTCAAATCACTGGCTGAAGCTCTGCTTTTGCATGACTCTGGAACCCTGAAGGGCGCAGCAGGGGTGTGAATGCTGCTTATGCTCACCCTCACCCTTGCCACTGAATTTAATAGCAGGGCATAGGAGAAGGTTAGCAACAGTGGCAGTGACAGTGGCAGCAGCAGCAGTGCTCACCCCCTGGGCTCCAGAGCTGTGTGAAAGCAGTAGCTCTGCATATGTGGAATAGCCAAATGGGGGAATGGGGCTACAAACACACCCCTGTTAACATTAGATTATTCTGCATTACCGGCATTGCACAGGCAGGATCTTCCCCAGACATGAACTGAATCTTAATGGCAATGTTTCTTGCAGAGGCCACTCGGTTAGCAAAATTCAACCGCTGTGGATAAACATAGAGGAGATTTCTGGAAGAAAAAGAAAGGAAGAAAAAAATGAATAAGCAATTATTATCTACAGGTTTTATAGGAAAAAAAGTACTTAACCTAGCATTTGCCATCTGCCTAATCTTACAATTATACTTAGAAAATGAAAGCTTTGAAAGGACTTCTTTACCAGTAGAAATAGTATGCCAGAAAGAGTAAGACCTTGCTGCTGCACAATGGAGAACTCATGTTTTCAGGTACCCCTTGAGGCAAACTATGTTTTTGACCAGGCAACTTGGCAGTCCCTCAGTGTTCCAGTTATTCTATTATTCCAGCCCTTTAACTCTGAGCCTGAAGGATAAGCAGGAGACCTCCATTCTTGCATGAGAAACAGTTTTCTTAAGTCTAGAGCACTAAGCAGTTGCTTGTATGGGTCAGCACTAGAGGGATGACACTAAAGACACCAGGGGAAGCAAAGCTCCCACTAGCAAATACCGTACACCTACCATCTGGCTGCTGAAGAACAGGGACGTATCACACCTGTTGCATCTTAGTGTAAGGGAGCTTGGAAAAGGGGAGTTGAGAGAATGTCATGATTTCTGTCAATATAATCAACCTTGGTTTTTAGGATTTGTTTTCCAACAGACAAATCAAATACAGTATAATCTACATAATAGTTGTATATATCAAATCTAGAGTCTGGATGCGCCATTCATACTATTTTTTTTTAAGCCAAAGTTTATTCTTTTACTAGATAGCCGTCATAGGCTTTGTAGCTGCTAGAAAATAAATCTTATAACAATAAATCTTATAACAATTCAGATGTAGCATTTTAAGCTTCCTTTCCTTTTGCCAAGGAAGGGAAAGTTCACGGCACACCAATTCTCCGCTAATCCTTCAATCCCGTGGCATTCCAGATCCTAGTGATATGGCTTATTATGAGGCAATTTCATATGGGAACAGATGAAGACCATTTTTACGCAGTAAAAAGGTACTGATTCCATAATCTCCAGGACATAAATAAATGAACAATTCTGGCTTTATGTAATGAAAAACAAAAAGTTCCCTGTTCAGAAAAGCTGGCCTGTGGTTTTCTGTAAATCTTCAAGAGCAAACACAAAGCTTCTAAAACCTCTCTTAGTATCACAAAACAAATAGGAAGCATTGCTGGACAGGTTGCAATAAAGAAATGGACTTCAAATGAGAAAGGATATGCTCAAAGGAAAAAAAAAGAAGACATTCAGCAAATAAACCAAACACTTCAGTTCCATGTTTCCTGGGGTCATAGCAACCAGAGGGACAGCATATTGATGGTCCTGGATTAATATTGACATTTTAAATAGCTTTTTAAACTGTAGAGCTTAGTGTCTGGGCATGGTGCCAATTTTTATTAATGTTTTATAGTCATTTTTCCCCCTATGAAAATGCACTACCCTTTATTTGTAGTTAAATCCCCAAAACTTGCAAGTAGCTGTTCATAGGTGGACTACAGCATCTCCCTGGAGCTCACTAATTTCTAGTGTCTGTCAATCACTATCAGCATGGGAAAGTTTACAGGATGAAGGCCCAAGAATATACAGATGATTCAACATATAAGGGTAAAACCTGGCTCCACTGAAGTCAAGGCAAAACTCTCAGCAACTTCAGCAGGGCAAAGATACTAACCAAATATATTCTAGAGGCATAATCATACCTGTTATGTTTCCCAACCCATAGTGGACAGTTAGGATGCATTTCCTAATCAATTCTGTACTAGCATAACAAATAAGACTGGCCTTCAGTAGCAAAGACACATCTTTGGATAGAAACTGCTTATGAAGAGGTTTGGGATACCCAAACTATGAGTAGGAAATACAGTATAATGCCTATACCAGCTGACCTCCCTACCATTTCTTACATTCTGTTTGCATCTGTTTCAATCATAAACTGCATATAAAATATCTCTGTATATAGTTCTCCATATGAACACAGCTGACTTAAAAACAAGACAAAAACACACACAAAAAAACTTTTCAGGCAATATTCATTCCTTATGTTGACTCAAAAAACTGAAACAAAATAAAAAGCTGCCTTCTACTTATTACCAGGGACCTTGGTTTTTTCTGTTTCAGAAATGCACAATCTCTGATTGAAAAAATATGCAAATTATTTGATTAAAACCCCAAACCCCACATTCTTCCATGATTAAAATGAAATGCCACTATGTACATGGCTATCAGTTGAAAACAATATTTTGATATATTCCCCACTTAAAATCAGTTTGGAAGCCTACCAGTGCCTCAAGTCACTATAATAAAATAAATTCTAAATACCTATAAGTTTTGGCATTGATTTTGGATTTTTTATCATGGAAAATCAGAGCTCCCCCTGCCCACTTCGCTCACCAGGATGCAGGTCCACCTGAGGCTGTCTCCTACCTCCACTGCTTTGTGGTGCTGAGCAGCCCTGATATTCTGGTGCCCTGCCCATGCCATTGCCCCTCCCTGAGTCCCCACCCACAGCCCCCTAGTCCTGCTGCTGCCCTTTACTCCCCACTCACAGCCTCCTACCCCCACAGCCGTGATAGAGGGCCAGGGACCTGGGTCT